GGGAATGGGACAAGCGCCATGAGTAGACACAAAAAGTCTAACACTTGTCGTAAAGGGAAGAAAAAGGGATTTAATCAGTCATTGATTTCGGATTCTTTGCAGAACCATTCCATGAGAGACTCACCCAGTGTCCACAGAGTGACAACATTTCAAATCGAGGAGCAGATATTGAAGACAATTACGTGTCTTCGTTTGCCTTTCCAGACGGTGGAGAACCCGGTGTTTCAGAGGCTACTCAGCCTTTTATATTCTGGTCCCAAAGAATTGGAACTCCCGTCAGCGAAGACCCTGCGAAGACGGCTCCGGGATGCAGTCAATTGCCAGCAAGAGTTACAGTTACAAGATCTGCCTGAAGATGCCAAGGTTTCCCTCGCTTTAGATTGTTGGACCAGTCCATTTCAGCAGGCATTCATGGCAATCACGGTTTATTTCATCGACAAAGATTGGAACTATAGGGAAATGCTCCTCGGCTTTGAGCCGTTGCACGGTCCTCATACAGGAAACAACCTTAGTGATGTTTTGCACCGGTTACTGGAGGAACGAAAACTTCTCGATCGTATTTTTAGCGTTACTACAGATAACGCTACCAACAACGACACCATGATACGCGCCTTGCAAGAGAGACTGCTCTCTATTGGAGCTATTAGCTCCAGGGAATCAATAGTCCGGGTTCCCTGCATGGCTCATGTGATCCAGCTTTGCCTGAAACAGCTACTGGGACATATCAGGGCAGCACCTAAGAATAAAGAAGTCAGAGCCTTTTGGTCCGACACCCAAGCGCACGGGTTGAAGGATTCGATCAATTATGGAGACGTGGCTCATACACTGACAAAGGTGAGCCAAGATATTCACCTTTTCAATATACTCAGAGCACTGACAGCATTAGATTCGATCCTTTGCGATCTTTGTCAACGCAAGCCCACAACGGCGTGATGCTTTTTTATGCCTCCAATCAGGTGGTACTCGGCTTTTTCCGTTACATGACGTTCAGACACGCTGGAATTCAACTTTTTTGATGCTTCGCCGAGCACGCCGGCTGAGAAATGTAATCGACAAATACTGCTGCGATCATGAATACTCGCAGCTCAAGGTTACCGACGTTGAATGGAGGCAAATTGACTACCTCGTTCATTTGACCAAACCGTTTTTTCAGTTCACCATGGCTCTGATGAAGACCAGAGACGTCACAATCCATAGTGTGTTCCTTGTGTATAGGAAACTACTGGAGCATATCGAACGGTCGAATCGAAGATTGAAGAGAAAGACAACACCCTGGAAGAAAGACATGTATGGCGCGTTGCTTGTGGCGAGGCAGAAGCTGAAAGAGTACTACGAAAAAACCTACCGCGACCACGGTTTTCTCTATGGCACTGGAACATTACTTGCCCCTCAGTATAAACTGAGTGCTTTTGATGATCGAGAGTACTCAACTTGCCATGAAGATACGTCAAAAAGGTACTGTGAATATTTGAGAGCATCTTTCACACAGTATCAGCAGCAGAACCCCGAGTTGCTATTCCGTACAGTCCAGCGATCTTCCAATTCGCATAGCACAGAGCTTGATCGGCTACTCGAGCCACCTGGTGCATCGATTTTCCATGAAGGAGTAGAGTATGACGAAGTGGACCAGTATCTTCGCGAAGGCACGAGCAATCAGTACAACACACTGGAACAACTGACTGACCTTGAATAGCCAATGTCCCTGTGTCGCCGCGACTTTATTGGAAAGAACACGAGCGCGAATTCCCAGTGCTGTCTCGGCTCGCACGAGACTTGCTTTCGGTCCCTGCCACCGGCGCGGGTGTAGAAAGGCTCTTCAATAGCGCACGAGACATTTGTCATTATCGCCGAGGGTCTCTTCACGAAGGGACCATTCAAGACTTGATGATGTACATGTGCTCAGAAAAGCTCACACTAGAGGGACAGCAATTGATTCGTCTGGAGAAACCGTTGGAGAGCGAGAGCCAAGAGGCACTTGAAGAGGATGAAGCGTTGAAGGCAATCGAAGAGGATGCAGAGCCGATCAGCGACAATGAGGAGATTGAAGAGAGCGAGAATCTCGAGGGTAACTCTGAGCCAGAGGAGACATACCAAGTGGAGTGTACGGTGGTAGAGACCGGCCGGAGCTCTATACACAGACATATTCACGAACCTGAACAAGAAGAAGAGAGTATGGAGGAAGACGTGGTTGATTACGACGAAGCAGATTTACTTCCGCCTCCAATCATGCAATTGAGTGATAGAAGCCAGAAGAGATCTTCTGGTCGGGTAACAATGCCCTCCAGCAGACTGCGAGGTTACGAGGTATACTAGTCTTTATAATTAGCCAATTTGATTTTTTCAAGCCCTTCATGTTCCTTTCCAAATATTCACAGCCAGAAGCTAGTAGTTACGCCATCGAAACAATTAGATAATCGAAAATTACTGCATAACTTAGTGTAAAATGATCAGTCAGCTTTGTTTGCTTTTTTGGGTAATCGCGGGTACCCATTTGGGTCTTGGGTTGGGTTTCCCGGATGACAACCCGCCCACGGGTTTGCTGACTAAGACCCAACCCGGCCCATGGGCTGGGTTTTCGCGGGCGGGTTTGGGCGGTGGGCGGGTTTTGGCGAGGCCTACTCAAGCACATCGACATGGAGACATTAGAAACGATCAACCCTTTCACGCTATCCCCGTGGGCGGAACGCGTACAGACCGACATTGATGGGCAGCATGGGCCCCTGGCTGAAGCGGGCGGGTGCATGCAGGTCGCGGTCAGCAGCTCGGCACGGAACGAGCTGGTGGGGTTTGGAGTGGCGATCGAGAAGCGACCACATTGGAATCGGAAGCTCAAAAACAAAGCGCTATCCATCACCTTGGCTGCAAGAGCAGAGCAGAATCCGTTCTCTGCGGAACTGGCAGCCATGGCACATGTATTGAACACGGCGACAGGACTGAAAGACTACACGATCACGCTGCTCACAAGCAACAAAGCGGCGGTTTTCACGCTCAGGAACCCCCGACAACAATCTGGCCAGGAGTTCGTGTGTCGAATATACAAGTTGATTAAAAGGTTGCAGAGAAACGGAAACCATGTTCAATTGCGCTGGGTTCCTGCCGGTGAAGACAACAAGCTACTAGGTTTGGCTAAAGAACAGGCAAGAACCTCGACACAAGAGGATGCCATCGTACAAGAACACGTCCCGAGGATGAAATCGACCACACTGAATCTCGCACGGTCTCAAGCAGTCCCCCGGAATATCCTACCGGCGGACGTCGGAAAGCACGCCAAACGAGTAGATGCCGCACTTCCAGGAAAACACACGCGACTGCTGTATGATCGCTTATCGTGGAAAGAAGCGACTGTGCTAGCCCAATTTCGGACTGGCATGGCGAGACTGAATGGATACCTCTATCGAATCAACGCGGCCGACACAGATCGGTGTGCGTGCGGACAAGCTACGGAGACTGTGGAGCACTTTCTCTTTCGATGTCGGAAGTGGACCGCACACCAGACGGAGATGCTACAATGTACCGACACTCACCGAGGAAATCTGTCCTTTTACCTGGGAGGGAAGTCCCCTTCCGACGATCAGAACTGGACGCCAAACCTAGAGGCAGCACGGGCCTCCATACGATTCGCCATCGCGACAGGCCGACTCGAGGTCACCTAAACATGCCGACGAGCATAAATCACCCTTTTCACTCTCCTTTCTCTCTAACCTAACCCACCAACCACCTCGTGCTACCCACGGTGGACGCGCTTCAACTGCCGAAGATAGGATTTGAACACTTGGAGAAGCGCCTTCAAGCCAGTCTACTAACCACATTACTAACCCACGAGCATCCGCTGCGACACTGCATGCTGAGAATGACAAATACGCCAAGGTCTTGTGTATGGGCTCCAATGAGTCACAGAATTGTATATACTATGACATGTATAGTAGTTTAGCGACAGTTGCCCTTTCGGCTCAAGTGCCGGGCGTTAATGAATTGTGTGTGTGTAGTGGCTCCTTTTTCTCATATTTAGTCCAAGTAGCTCTCTGCCCACTGAGTTCAACCTCAAGATTCTTGAGATTTCCGCGTAGTAACAAAGAACCCTGAATGTCCTGGGTTGATTCCCATATACGAACATCAACTTCTCGATTGTGGATTTGTAAATCAAAATTTCTTTTCGGCAAGGTATGTGCAAAATAAATCGTCCGTACTCATTACCGGACCAAAATGGTTATTTTCGTTGAAATCGATAAAGGCTCTGTGATCGGGAAGATTGGAGTTGCCGTAAACGTTGCCACTCCACTTTTCCGCTCATACAAGTGACAATACCCCACCTTTATTATGATAATTCTTTTTGGTAAAACCCCAGATGCATCCGCTTCCTGATTCTGCTCTCTCCCAGCCAAGCCTTCCTTTGGTCATGCGTAGAAGTCTGATATCATACCTAGGCTTTGACTGAACCCATTGTTCGACCCATTCTGACCATTATTCTGCATCATCCCAATCAAGGAAAAGACTAGCCTCTGAAGAGACTTTATGAATGTATGCAAAATAATAGGCGAAAAATAGAAATATGCCCCATTATGTGGGTCGAAAGTTGGGTTGTGTTTAAGAATGATCATACCGGTCTGAAACGAAAGTCATGCTTAGCTCGTATTTACAAAAGTACAGATCGGGTAACTCTGCTAAGAGAAATGCCTAGAAATAGAATGGGTAAGTTGAGAGCCTGGCGAGGAGAATGTGCCAGACTATTCATGGGTCCTCCCTTGAGCGAGTTATGCGTTACGGTTTGCCGCCGTGGCTGGAATTAGCGGGGATTCGAGGTGACAAAACCGAATCACGCCGCTACATAGCTCTTAGCCGCGAACTAATCCGCGCTCGGTCCGTTCCTCTAAGAGCATGTCCGAAGCCCCGGCCAAGTTAAAAATGGCGGCCGAGGGCCCTAATAAGAAGTGGTAGAAAGCCCGTCTTTACTGTAACGAAACTTTTAATCGTCCCAGTTGTGTCGTCCTCATCCCAAATCAATGGCAAGCACAAATCACCCCTCCGCCATTTTGGCTTTGATAGAATTCGCCACCAAGTCGGCCTTCAAACTCATCAAGGTGATTCAGTCTCGCCCAAGCTATTCGAAACCATGGCGGGATTTAGTCAAGGAACTTGAATCAACAAAAAAGGTGTTTGCGTCCCTCGGTCGGCTGGTCACGGCTTCCACAGATATCAAGTTTCTCAGACTGGCTTCTCCGTTAAAGGAATGTGGCACGGCCTGTAATAACTTCAAAGAAAGTATCGTCAAAGCACATGCTCAAAGCAACGAGAAGGATATTTGTGGAAAAAATACACCCAACTCGGCGAACTCGCCAAGTCGGCTGGGTCATGTAGAGACCTTTCGGCGGCATCTCAGCGGCTACAAATCGACATTTGAAGTTGTGCTCTTAGCTTCAACGATGTGAGTCATCAGGCCATATAGAAATGGAAGTAATCTTACCACCTTGCTTTTGCGTATCATAGTCAAACCTCTCTCACCAAGAACAAAGATTTAGTAAACATAAAAACTCTCATCAATTGCACCATCGAAGATATTGACGACCTTGACAACGAAGCGGCTGGTACAGATGGACTTACCCCGCTGACCAATGGAAGCGTATCCGTGACCCCTAAGATAACAGTTCTGGGGGACTGTCGAGACATTTGTGTTTCGTTTCGCGAGCTTGTTGATCAGATCGAGGAGACTATCCAGCGTAGTATAACAAACACTCGCGCGATACCAGACCAAGATACGCAGAAAATGGCAGATATGCTCTCACAAATCCACTGCCAGCCCACTTCAAACCGTCTCAGTGCCTACTTCGAGACATTGATAGATGATTCCCGCAGGTGGAACATTGAGACTTTTATCGAGGGTGCACATTACCTGGCGAAGATTATTGGTCCTGAAAAGGGCGAGTATTATGAAAATGCGTTGAATGGATTGCATTATCCCCTCGCTTTTGCCGAACTATGGAATCAGACATACCATCAACAACGCATCGACTCTTTGGACTTTGCAGTATGTCCTCCTGGCTGGTCCAGTGGAATCCAAAATTGTCGTCTCGATTTAACATACGAGGGAGACAAGCCATTGAGTCAAGGTCTCAATAAATTGCTCCAAGGGCCTACGACAATGGACTGTGGCATGTTTTGTCAACTTCTACAATGGATGGCGATACGCTATATGATAGGAGACGGCCTTTTTGACCGGCTCTTCCAATTCCAGAAGGGCAAGTTCACCATAAGCCAACAGTGTTACAGTCCAGCCAATCTTGAAAACCAAACCGGCAACCTACTGTTTCCTTTCTACGACAGGCCAATTAACGACAACATTGGGTATGCCTTGGAATCTCAGGTCCGCATTAAGATGAGAGCCTTTTTCAATAACCCAACATACCTTTCAAAGCATCCGAAAGGAACGGGACGTTTACAAAATGTGATTCAAATCGATGATCACCACATCGTATTCCGCCCAGGGGCACCTCAAAATATCTTATCAAGAGAAGAAGTCAATTGCGCATTAACAAACGCCTATAATGCCCCCAGAAATCAGGCTGATGAAGAGGAGATTCGCTTTTACACAGAAAATGAGGGTAATCTGCATCCTTATCTAAGGAAGTCCTTTGGACTGCTAGCCGAGGAAGCGAAGGATTTTGCGGACCATACAATGGGTGAAACCGAATGGAGGGATACCAGAATCGACCGAGAAAAGATGGCGCATGGGTATCATCTTATACTCAATTTCCACAGGCTGAAGGCATCTCTTGAAAAAACCAGAGACGCATGTTCGAATGGAACCGTGGAGATGAACATCATCAAAAGAGCCGAGGAGCTTCGAAGGTCTGCTTTACGAAACAAGTTGGATGGGATGTGAAAGCAGCTTATTTTGTAACGCCTACTTCATAGTCTGTACAGAGACTTTCGAAAACAGTTTACCCCCAGACACACGCGTTTGATCTCCCGAAGACCCACTGCCGCCTAGTCCGAATCGCCCCTGGTTCTAGATTCTCCCGCAGCCAATAGTACGGCACCATGCCTCAGGGAATGGGCTCTATCTAGCCAGAATTAGTTTAGCGCAATCTTAGCGGAGCGCTGGAAAAAGAACGCGTGTCTGTCTTGGGGGTATGTATTCTGAAAACGGAGATGGAGATCTTCAACTGTGGGTATAGTTTCGGCGAGAAGAAAAGGTTTTTGCTCTGGAGGAGTCGGTTGCGGCGTGGATGGAGGACGGAAGCGTATGTTGTTTGTTGATTTTGGAGCGAGGAAGTGATGGAAGGTATCGTTTGACGAGGCTGGGGAGAGCGGACTATTGAAGATTTTTGAGGCTCTCGGTCGGTCGTGGAGGGTGTACATAGCTTGAGCACAGAATTCAGCGTCGGTGTTCGAGGTTTTCTGCACTGTATTATGTACAATTGGAGTTGATTGGGCTAGTGTCTGTGTGCTGGCGTCGCTGGTTGCCTTCTTGGATGGGTCGTCTTTGATAGAACGATGACGACTGGGAATTGACTTTCTAGGTGGAGGCAATGCGTCGGTTGAAGGATGGGCGATTAAATTCTAGAGTTCGTTTCATCTTGTTGTAAATGACCTCCAATACGCAGTCTTTGGCATGTAGTTTCTGTCTATCTTGGATTCTCGGTGGGTCTGGCTAGGCTCGCCCAGTGGCCTCCTTCGATGCTGGTCTAGAACAGGCCAACCGTCTCTAGAATGCTTTTGTGCCCTTTTATTGAATCTCTATTTGCAAGTGAGGCCTTTATATATGCTCGTCATCCAGAAACTCGCAGCCATAGTTCTAGAACATCAAAGGTTGACGTCCTACAGTATCGGTCACCTTCCTCACTATTCAATTCATCATTGACTTCAACGGAAATTGCACTGAGTTCACGATTTATGAATTTTGAACACTCTCGTCCAAGCTTCGGGTTCTTGAATCGATGATCTCATCTTTAACATCCAACACAGTCATCGTCATGAGATCAATACGTCACCATTAGCTGAGCGACAACGTCCACTCGAGTACTTATAAGTCCAATCCTAATCCTCGAAGCTCTTGATTAGACCCTATTTTTGATATGTTCTGAAGGAGGGCAAAACCTGCTTGTCAACTTTGAGCAACCCATTATGACTCAAAACCAAACTAGAATGCGTGTCCACACAGGCATTGTGCCATTGGCTCCTGCGCCTGATACTGGGCCCAATTGCATGAGATGTGGCAAGCCTAGCGACGAATTCGTGACGAAAACTTCGAACCGGAACAACAATGCAGGTCGACCTTATTTTAAATGTGTCCCGTGCAATAAATTCTTGGTTTTCAACGACACTCGTGGCAATGATCCCGACAACCCGGCCTGTTCTTGTGGTGTTTCCAGCAAGCGACAAGCTGCAGGGCACTATCGCCAAGTTCCGCGAGGTGTACATTATGTCTGTCGACTCGGGCGCTGTAATTTTTATGTGCCACAGATGGGGAATACCGGCCGTCAGGTGTCTCTGGAAGATGTTGAAGAAGAGCTTTTGCAACTTCTTGTCCGATTTTGTGTAATTTAAGGCTTCTTGGGTAATTGCTTGCGTGGACGTTAAGAAATGGAGTTTGTTGAACTTGCCCTTGAGAGCTTGCACGGTCAGCATCGGAGCACGCGAGTCAATATTTCTACAAGAAAGAAAAAGCAAAAGCAAAATTAGTTCAACTGGCGGCTCCGGCTTACATTCATTTATTGCTATCGACACAGAGTCAGCGAGGAATTTTAATAAGGTGGTTCAAGTGGTGCTGGCGTGCAAAAATGGACAGAGTTGGATTTCAAAAGCGTCAGAGAGGTACGACCATGAAGCTCATGTAAAGGTCAAAGATTGACTGCATGGCAGGTATATAAATAACAGATGACCATTTTGATGGGTTCAAAACATCTGGCTTGCTTGGTCTGCCTGGCTTGCCAGCCGATCATGGCCGGTATTGGACCCAAGAGATCTTTGATAGCTTGGAGACTCTCTGTTCACACAAAAGTCGGTCACATTCCCTTTGGCAACAGTGGTAAGCTTGACTCGGGTCGTACAACAGGGCCCCTTATATCCCCGTCACTCGAGTCGAATGCGATGCGAACGATCTTGTCGGCTCGAGCTCCCCTATACTGTTGCGATTGCAAGCTATCTGTCCCTTCCTCATGACTGTTGTAGTTCAGAGCTATAAATTGACTTATTATCTCAGAAGGATACATGAGCCTATATATACAATGATGAGCCAAGTTGATTGCTCGTTTGCATGGACACTTCGGAGCTAATTCCGACGGTGCGGCTTGGTTCCTGATCTGCACCGGTCTCATATCATAACAAGCGTGTTTACACGAACACGTATTATTGCAATGGTTCGTTTGCAAATAAGCAAAAATTACTTTGTCTAGGTTGAGGTCATGAAACTTAACACCTTTTAAAAAAAAGACGTGAAAGAAGTTGAATTCGATCAGAAGCCCAAGATTCCGAGACCCTGTCATCCTTTCCTAAGCACCCCCAAAGACTAAAAGGCTTTGGACATCGACTCCGCCATACCCGCGTTGGCGCAATAATTCCCGGCCGCGGTGAACAGGGAACTCAGCCACAACCAAGATGCTGACATCTTTAGCACCGACGTTAGCCTTATCTAACAAATCTAGCACCGCACAAAGCGTCTTCCCCGTAGCAAGCACATCGTCCACCACCACCACTGAGGCACCGCTGGGAATCAAATTCCGTTCCATCTCGATCCTATTTCCTTCTATGTCGTTGGATGTCGAAGATGAGATGTGCGACGTAGACTTGAAGACGGAAACGGTGGGTGGGGGGAGTTTTCCGGCTTCGCGAATCAGCGCCAAGGGTAAATCGACCCGCAATGCCAGCGCCGACGCATAGACAAAGCCACCGGCCTCGCAACACACCACCACATCGGTTCTGGTCCATTCACCGGAAAAGTGAGCCTGTAGCAGAGATGTGCACAGGTTCAGCCCACCCGGTTGTTGGGATATATTGAGCAGTGACGGAATTCGACGCCAGGTCGTGGAAAGTGGGGTACCGGGCGCACCATGTTTGCCAGTAGACCTCGAAATGGTGCGGTTCTGGTTCCAAGGTCTGGAACCGCGCACCAGAACCTCCGGTTCCGCGGTTCTAATATATAAGGACTGCACCGCACCGCGGCTCTACGCGGCTCTATCGCGGTTCGAACCTCATGGAGCCGCGATTGCATAATTTTGCCAAGGGTTTCCTATTTCGGATGGATAAATTGATGACTCATCTTAACTCTTCGTTGTTATTAAACACTGTTTTGGGTAATACATAACTGAATGTTGCAATGGAGCAACAATCCTCACGAGATTTGATGTAATTTACGTTCAAACAAACATTCTAGCATTGACAACTGTAGGCCCCCCTAAATCGAGTATATTCTAAGCTCTTGGATATTGATTCTGGTCGGATGGTCGTTAATATACCGTGCGGAGTGAAAAATATATATAGTGATCTGTTCATTATATTACCACCTCGCCAGTCATTTTTCAGTTTACCCCCGCAGTGGCAACCAAGAAGTTGTTTTGGTAGTCTACACCTTTGAAAGTACTTGTTATTCTTTTCTCTACACTTTACTACTAATATTCTCTACTTAAGGCTTTATAAATGTGACACATGCTGTGAGTATAAAGGACTTAATGAAAATTCGCAGAATCTAGTCATAATGTGGGGCGGACGGAGGGGCCTGATGTGGTTTGTGCGGTTCCTGCGGTGCTTTTTGCGGGCAGCGGAGGTTCGTTATGCGGTCCTACGCGGTCCCATAAGGTTTGGCGCGGTTCGAACCTCACGGAACCTCAATATAGTGGGACTAGCTATCCAATCAGAACAAGGACTGAAACTACGATATCCACAGTCAGCTTTTTCTACTTTACGCTGGTACCCGATTCCCTTAGAACTTGTTTAGATCTCTTATTTATACCCTGATAACTTCCTGTATGTCTATTCTACGCACTCTCCCTCTTTGGTCCCAGCTCGATCCCAGCTCTATAAAATAATATGTCACAGAGCCAGGACTCTCAGTTCTCTGACAACTATCCTTCGTCGATTTTCGAGGAGAATACTGTGGATAACCTCACGTTCCTTTCATCTGATGACCTACAGCCATTCAACCCTAATACTTTATATGGCCAGCACACGTCGAGTTCTACACCTAACGTTGGTTTCGCCCGGCCAGCGCTTCCGCCCACCATCCCCGAGACACTCGAGCACGTCGGTCCTCGAAAGAAGAAGACCTACGTCCTCTGGACACAGATGGTGAATGACGACTTCGTTGCATGGTGGTTAAAGACGGAGTATGGAAGTCAGACGAAACGGAATATTTTTGAGAGTAAGCACCAGGCAGAATGCTGGGAGCATTTTCACCAGGTAGCTACTATTCAAGATGGATCCCCGAAGGTTATGTGTAAAACATGTGATC